CTTGAGTTCCAGGTACCATCTGTTTGGGGACATGCAACAAACAGATATCCTTTCCAAAATGGAAATCGTAGCTGGAGATAGAGATCCAGAAATTGTTTTTGCTGATGTAGTGGTTGGAACTGGAGAAAGGATACAGGATATTCTTCCGTAGAGTAGGTGTGGTGTCGAGCTACCAGCAGTGGCTCCTGAAGAGAACACAGAGGTCAGAAGGGAGGTGAGATTAGATCCAAGAGAGAGGAGGCCAAGAAGCCTAGGGTAGAGAATGAGTTCAAAAGCAGGGTTGGAAATGGATGCAGATATTTCAGAAAGACTGAGGAGGAGGAGAAGGACCAGTTGTGCTGCATGTAGGACTGGGTAGCTATGATTAAATTTACCTTGAGAGCAAATTCTTCTGTTCTGTGACTGAGGCAGAAATGCTGTTGCATGTAAGGAAGGGGCGCTGGAGGAGAGGCTACAGTGGTATTGTGGGATAGGGTGGAGATCCTGGGAAACTTCTAGTCTTGGAGGGTCAGTCTTTGTAAAGAGTGTGCATAAGAGTATTTGAGTGTATGTGTGGAGAAGAGTACGGTGTGTGGAAGCACCCATGACCTATTTCAGCCGTCGCCACTTGTTGCTATTTGGGAATGTGAGTCCAGTGTTCCCAACAGTGTGGATTTTTCAAAAGAAGCAGACAATCTAGGTTTTTTCTTCTTTTTTGATGGAAAATCTGCACTTTTTAAAATACTGACTCAAATTTTCGAAAACCCTGTCTAAACCAAATATGTCTGTGGGTGGGATATAGCTCATAAAGCTGCTGTTTTCTGTGGTAGAGATCATGGGTTCATGAAAGTTCTCTGTAAAAAAGAAGAGAATGGCTTATCATGAGCACTGGATAAATATTTGCTGGATTGGAAACAAGTTTGCACATTGATGATTTTTAAGTAGGAGGAAATATAGGGCTCGATTTAATGTAGCTGTGATAGTCTATGTCTTAGATGAGTATGGCAGCTGAAAGAATGCTGGTAAGAGACATTTCTTGTTGCTATTAATATTGATTTCTCATTTCCAATGAATATAATTGTCTTCACACCACCGGTAATTGGTGGTGACAGTAGAACATAGTAAGTCTGCATTATCACTGTATTAGCACCATTGAAGACTGGTAATTATTAGAACTTCAAGAATCACACTGCTCAATCAGTAGGTAGACACACCTTGTCTGTTCTTCATATTATATTTGGAAGTAGTCAAATTTTTCTGAGTTAAAGTGTTAAGGAATGGACTTTATATGAGGCACAGGTAAGATGGGAAGGTCAAGGTCATAAACATGAATAGAACAGAAAGTGTTTCCATTCAGGGTAATTTCTTTAACTTCAGGCAAACTGTTCACTTATCAGCCTGTCTTTTCCCCATTAGTCTGCTCCAATTCAAATAGAATTGAAATAACAAATAGTGTACAGTGCAGATATACAGGCTGGTCAATTACCGAAAGTCTTTTGTGACTACAATTCCAGAAATTGAAGTAACCCTTGTCTATGGACTTGCCTGTGTGTTTTTTCCCCTCAAGATGAAAGATCCTGATCAGAATATATGTCTTCTAGGTATGTATTGCTGCTCTTTGACAGAGGAGAAAACTGGGGCTCAGAAAGGTCAGGTCACCAGCTGAAGGGTCATACTGGAAGTTATGGAGCTGGGATGTAACACAGGCTGACTTCAAGGCCTGTGTCTTGAGACAGCTTTAGTCAAATTAACCTCTGAGTGACTTGCTCCATTGAGTTTTGCAAGTAAAACTCATTTTCTTCTTTAAAAAAACAATAGTCCTTCTTCTACTCTGGCCTTTGGGGATTCAACATTTTCCTAAAAGAAATTGCAGAAGTAACTCTTTGAACTCAGTACCGAAGATTTTCGAGGGGAAGCTTTGGTTGTATAGCCAGGCCTAAGTTCTAATTGTAAAGGCTATGGGATTTTAATTTATTATCTCTTTTTTTCCTAGAGCATTTTGTGAAATTACCATTTTGTTGCTGGTCTTAGCCATGTGTGTAATCCTAGAAGGAGAAGTGTCTTCACCCTGCCGTTTTTCTCTGTCTGTATTCTTTGCCCTGTTATTTCTCTCCTTACAGTCAAAGCTCACATAGGTCCTATATTTCAGAACATATGCAACTGGGAAGGGAATTTTTTTAAACCATAAATAATTAACCTATTCTTTTGTGAAGCCTTCAAAAAAATGCCTACAATTGTATCAGGCAGGGAGCCCAGTGGAAAGCACGAGTATGCTTTATTTATTTATTTTTTTCTCCAGAAGTTCAAATGTATCTCTGCTCTTTGTCATGGATGAAAAGAAGCACCTAGGGTTTTGTCTTTTAGCTAAATGTATGTGTGTATTTGAATGCAAAGACATAAATATTTAAATATGTAATAGGTAAGTATATGCACATATATCCAATTGCAACCTATGTACCCCTTTAGACAGATGTTAATGAAATGGTAAATATTAATACATTTTACAGGTATATAACTTCGTAGGACTCTACTTTTTTTAGGCAAAAATGTGGTTCTCTGAAACCACACCACACAGACTAAACATCTGTTTTAAAGTGTGTTAAAATCCAGCAACTCAATGTCAATTGGATCTGGCTTTACGGTATTGCTTGCTTGATTATGGCTCTCACTGGGGGAGGAAAGCTTTCTGATATCATCCAAACCTCCAGAGTACCATTCAAAGCAGCTGGTATTCTATATATTACATAATTATGAAGCACACAGTGTAGTTTAGAATACTTAAGAGGCACTAGGGGCCCACTTCTCAAAATATTTACAGCCTTTTATTCTTCTAAAAACAATAATTTGCATGCCTAAAATGATATGTGTACCTTTGCCATGCAAATTTTCTTTGGCTTCTTTTTTCTGGTGAAACTTGCTCTGAAAATATCAATGTTTAGCAGTGAATAGGCCAGAGGGAGATGTCATTGGCAAGAAAGGAGGTCTTTTAACATTTTCCCCAAATTGTGAGGATTCAGAGGGAAATGAGGAAGGTCTGAGTGAAGGAGACCCTGTGAGAAGAGGTGTGACCTCTGAGGAGAGGCTCTGGAAACAGGTGTCAGCCTTTGCATGAAAGGGGTGATTGGAGCTAAGTGCCTATCCAGTATACCAGCTCTGGCCATTCCACAGATTTAGAAGAACATTAAGAATATTATTGCTTTTTTGTAGATCCCACAGCAAGGTATTAATGCAAGTCTTCTTGCTAAGGGCTGTTTAAGTGAAATAGCGAAACTGGACATGCAATGGGCTCCCTGTGTCCACTTCTGCCTCTCCATCTCTCTTCTATATTTTAGGACCTCATGCAGGCAACTACTCACTCAACAGACTGGGACTGTACCTGCTATGTCTTGGGTACTGTGCTAGACAATGGGAATATAAAAATAAACATGATAATGTCGTCCTACTAAGACATGAGCATTGAAGAGTGGGAGGAAGTCATAAATCAGTGTGGCTGGGTGTCCAAGCCATGGCAGTAAAAAGCACGTATAGGAATGGTAACGGTATGGAGGGGGGAGTGTTCACCTCTAACTTAGGTAGCAATAGTGATGAGGAAGGGCTTTGTGAAGGAGCCGATGCCTGAGGGAGACACAGAAGGGAAACTGTTCTAGAAAGAGATGGAGGCATGGAACCCATGGGAGGGTTTGGGGGCAGAAGGAAATGACATGCTCTAATATATATATATATATATTTTTTTTAATAACACTGTCTTTTACCCAAGCATACCTCGGGGCTCTCCTAAGCTACCTTATTTTTTCTGAGTGGTCTCTCTTAGGGATCAGGGGCTTGGTCTTTACTGAAAATGTCCCAAATGATAGTGTTACCATCTTGGTGGAATAGGACTTCTCCCAAAGGTTGGGTGGGGCTGAATATTTTGGTTAGTAATGTACCATTTATCCCTAAATTAAAACTGGTAGTAGCGTAGTTAATCTGGTCTTGATTCTATTCTGAAGGATATGATTAAAAACAGGCAAACTTCAACAGTGGATTAAAAGTACCCAGGCTCCTATTGGAACTCAAGCTTAGTCTGGCACTCTTGTTTATGGAACTGTGCTAATAAAAATACATTATAAAGAGGAATAAGTAACTGGGTCAAAGTGTTGATTAATTATACATATATACATATATGTGGTTTTAAAATATTAAATGTGTACATAATGTATACTGAATATAAAAGATTAAATATATACAGAGTACTTAGGGACATTATCACATACAAAAGGCAAGAATTGGGCCAGGATCTTAATGACAGTTATCTTTGAGCAGAGTATTACAAAAGACATTTATTTTCTGTTTTCCCTGTCTTGGTGAAATTGTATGCAATGAAACTACATTCATTTCATAAACAGAAAAAAATATTTTTTCCTATAGGGAGTAAATTGTTAACATAGTAAATTAAAGTTTCCCTTTGGGAAAGGAGAGTAGGGATGCTAGTCACCATTCCTAGAAGGCAATCTTCTGTGACAAGCCTGGCCTGAAAATCATGCCCCAAAGATGATATTGTTTCTACTCTATCCTGCTGACTCACTCAGCAAGAGCACCTACTGCAGGCTGATATCAAGAGCTAAAAGATAAGTTGACCCCTTTTATCTAGTTTAGGAAAGAGCCATGGAGACAAAAACTTGCAAAGACATTTAACAGGCCTAATAAAGAATGTCTGATCAAGTAACAAAGAGAAAGTGCTTAATTAAAATGGAAACCTTGCCAAGTTCAACCCTAATTTCCTTGCATCTGAAAGGCTTTGCTTCAGACTTCCTGCCAGACTTCACTTCTTTCATCATCATCATAGTTAAACGTCCTCTTGAGTGCCATATACATTCCTGCCATGATGGAAACTCCCCGAGAGCCACATTATGTCCTATTCACATTTATATGCCCCACAACGCCTTGAACACAGAAGAAATTCAATACATATTTATGGAATGAGTGAATGGTCCGGTATTGTGTGAGGTTAACACATACATAGAAAATATTTCACTTCAGGCTCAAGCAAACTGTTTATTTTATGAATCTGACAACTGTAGTATTGAAAGAAAGTGGCTATATCTGATCTCAGCAAGGATTGATTGATTGATTGATGCTTCTTCTCTTGCCGTATGGCAAGGGAAGAGGTTTCTTCATAAGTCAGTGGCCTCTGACGTGCACCACCACCATGGCTTCTTCCTCAATAGGTAGTCTGTTTGACCAGCCAAAGTCATGTGACCTGTTGTAAGGGGAAAAAAAAGTCACTCTCAGAAATACGGCAAGACAGAAATTTCTCTTTACTAAACCATAGTTGTAGGGTTTATTGAAACATGCTGCCCAGAAAACAACTGTTTGTGAAGAGCTTGAGGGCATCATTATAACCTCTGTGGGAGGCTGGTTTTCTGTGTGGTGCCCAGAACTGCATGGACAACAGAATCCATGCTATCAGTCCACAGAGCCCGACACTCCTGTCATGAGTGTTATCATTCAATTTTCTCCCAGCAAGAGTGACAGGAGCTAATTGTTTGGCCCGGTTTGTGTCCTTCCAACCCCATGAAGTTGACTATTTTGCATAATAATCTGACTGGCTGATTGAAGCGCCAATAATCCAATTCCTAGGCCTGAAACTAGGATGTGCCAGAAAGGTTGGTTCCCTGTGGTAAAATGACAAGACATTTCAGGGAGAAGAAATCTTTCCAAAATTTTCTGTAATTAAAAAGTGTAGTGTATTTTTTTGGAAGAAACTCTACTTCTAGTGTATATCACATGAAGTGATAATATTGTGAAGGTGTATGGGTATTTATGTGGATACACACAGGCACACACGCACACTCATGCGTGCACATCTCTTTAGTGAAATAAGCCAAATCATTTCGAGCATTGATTAGGTAAGATTTTGAGATCTAAGGATCTTCCAATGAAAGGTAATGTTAAATGGAATTGAACTGATGCCATGGTCCATTTTGGAGAATAAAATTGATGTGTTTTTTTTTTTCCTTTTCATTAAAATAATGCTTGAAATTTTAGTGTCCTGGACAAAGGAGCATGAAGAAACTTTTGGGGTTGATGCATATGATCACTGTCTTGATTGGGGTGATGGTTTCACAGTTTCATAGATATGTCAAAATGTAGCAAATTGTATGTTTTAAAATATGTGAAGTTATTGTGTGTCAATTATACTTCAATAAGAAAAAGACAATTGCAGTGTGCTGGGCTGGAAATCTCTTCTATGCATCTCTCAGGAAGTGTTGCATAAGACAACCAATGCAAATGCCAGTGGGTTTAATATGGCACTTGCCTACATATATCATTCCTCCAACCATCCATCATTCCTTCTGGAATAATGGAAAATGGAAAATAGTGGGTGAATTTTGTGATAAACACATGTGTGTCCATTCAGTATCCAGGACAGATCACCAGTTGCCTGGACAGAGGGAGCAGGGTGTCCCATTGCTGACGGAGTTAGGGACATAGTTATAATCCAGAATCTGGATTGAGGACTGTGACACCAGCAAGTTATAGTTACCCCTGTGATCATTCCACCCTACATCACCAATTGGATTTTTTAATACACTTGTACGTCCGATTCCCCTGGCTTCTCAATACATTCTTTTCTTGCCAATCTCTACAAGTGATTCAGGCAAAACTGTAGGAATAGGGCAAAAGAGAGTTCACAAATTTCTAGTGAATTTTTTTTTAATTTTTCTAATTTAAATTCAGTTGGCCCACATACGTTACATCATTGGTTTCTGATGTAGTGTTCAGTGATTCATTAGTTGCATCAAGTGAATTTTAACAAAAGATAACCACTTGTGTGTTAAGAAGCCTCCTAATAGGAACACCTGGGTAAGCTCAGTTGGTTAAGCATCTGTCTTTGGCTCAGGTCATGATCCCTGGGTCCTCGGATTGAGCCCTGTGTGGAGACCTGCGTCCACTGTCAGGTTTCCTGCTCAGCAGGGAGTCTGCTTCTCCATTTCCCTCTGCTTCTCTCCTGACTCATGTTTGCTCTCTCTCTCTCAAATAAATAAATAAAATCTTTTTTTTTTTTTTTTTTTTTTAAAAAAAAGAAGGCTCCTAATAGTAAAGAAAGGCGATTAGATTTGTGAATCCCAGGCCCACCCCCTTCACAGCCTGGGGAGCTGGAACACATCGCCAGCTGGTACCTGGACCTTGGAAAGGGGCTTCCTGGATCTGTACTTGGGCCCAAGCCTACGGGCAGGGATTGGAGTTTAAGAAGTTGGGACATAAATTGCTGGAGTTGAGGGCAGTGTGTGTGAGGGAAAGGCCTGAGCCAGAGAGGGAGCTAAAAAGGGGTAGGATGTCAGCTGCTGTGTGCCTCGTCCTGATTCCCATAGTTGTGGTGGAGATTGCCTCTTCCCCTTTTACTGCCATATATCCTGAGGGGGTGCACACTGATGCAGGGGTGAGGAGGAAGCAGGAAAGCTGAGGGGATCAGGACCATGGAGTTTGTATGGGAAGGACAGAAGAGGCCTGGGGAATCAGCAGCATCTCTATATCTGTGGGAAGGGGGGTGTGGAGTATTAGGGCAGCCTCTGGACCCACTGAGGGTGGGTAAGAATTTCTTCAGTGCTTTCAGTTGGAGAAATTAAGTACATATACAAAATTTCTAGATCCCTTCATCTATTTCCATTATTTCTTGCTCTCTTGCCTAAAAGCATGTTTCATTTCAAATCAGAGTCAAGTTCCAGCTTATTTATTTATTTATTTTTAGGAATGAATGTTTGGCAAGCTAAAATCCCAGCACTTACATGTTAGAAAGAACTTTGAAATTAAACAAGGATCCTATCTCTTTCTTTTAATATCTAAAAAACAAAGCACAGTTCTTCCTTCCAGGTTGGACTATCCTATTACAATGAACGTTAATCCATACTAAAAGGGCTTTAAGAAATGGGTTTTCCTCATCTCTGTTCAATTTCCTTTCTCAGCTTTAATGATTTCAGGTAGCTCCTGCTCATCTTTGTTAGCCATGCACAAATGTAAATGGTAATGAGGCTTTTGTGTATGCGTGTGAAATTCAAAATCCATCCCTAGTCTATTAACTCTGTAAAGAAACTTACACTGTAGAAGTCCATAGGAGTCTGAACAAAAAGGCTTCTATTGTACAAAACCAATTTCCATGTAATCAGGTTGGGCAATAGAGTGTTTTCTCTTGAATGATATTTGTACAATGTCGGAGAGGTCTGACCTGTGCACTGTGCAGGAGAGTTCTATCACTTAGCGGGTGCAAAGGTCAGAGGAAAGAAATGTTTCTGGAATGACTCGGCTTAAATTGCAATGCTTCATAATAGCATGGTTTCGTAGCCACCTCCCTCAATGACTATTTTTGTCTGACTAAAATCTGGTCAAGCGGTGCATCACTGAACTAATTTATTTAAGAAACAGCTAGAGATTATTGTTAAATAAAAAGTACCTCATTTTGGTTTTAAGATATTCCTTTTCCTTAATGTACTAAGTTTTGTGTTTTTTTTTTTTTCTTAAGTTTAAATTATCAGCTAATGCCGAGTGGCTAACGACAGCACCTGGCACGTAGTAGGAAGTCAGTCAATACGTATCAAGGAATGAATGAACCAAATTTCTCTTAGGCAACAGATGCAAAACAGTATGACTTAATCAGACCATATGAATCTGAAAAGCTTTTTTCACTGTGGTCTAAAATGTTAATTTCCTATAATTTTCTTGTAATGCAAAAACTAACATACCAGCTAATAAAATCGTTTTGTTTGAGTAGATGTCTGCAAAATTAGGAATAGCATTTTGTAACCTAAGCAGCCAATTGCTGATTTTTATACCCCCAACCGCATTTTAGCTCAGTCAAGAATCCCAGCGTCCTACAAGTGCCGCTCCCAACCCACCCAGATGCTTCTCGGAAACCTCCTTAGAGTCCCAAGGGCGACCCGACTCTCATCAAGGCAACACACAAAAGCTCTCACAGGATGGTCCCAGGGATCAAATAAAAGAGGCCCCGTGCTCTGTTCAGTGGGCAGCGTCACACCGACATGCTGCAGGGCTCTGTCTTATAAGTCAATGCTGATACAATTCGACAAGTCTGTAATCAGTTTGAGATTGTGCTCCAGTATGTTCTACAGCAGACAGATCACAATTCTCACTTTAGTTTCCTAGTAAAACAGATGATAATTGGGGAAGTTAACCTGCAGTCTACTTGTTCATAAGCTAAAAAAAAGGTAACGCGTTTTGTTCACTTAGTTGCCCCCAAACTGATAAAGTAGTTTAGTCTCTTGCCCTTCCAGATTCCTGCTTTTTCACACATATAGTATTTTATGCAGACGTGCTTAGAGATATAACAGACTTCCCTCCTCTACCTCCAGACAACATGTTCCTCTAGAGGAAGGCTCTCCAGATGTTTCGCATCTCCATATCCCTGGGGCCTGGAGCACCATTTAGAAATTTTTCAGAATGAAGCAATAGCAATGCACTTTTTTTTTTTTAAGATTTTTTTTTAAAGATTTTATTTATTGATTTGACAGAGAGAGATCACAAGTAGACAGAGAGGCAGGCAGAGAGAGAGAGAGAGGGAAGCAGGCTCCCTGCCGAGCAGAGAGCCCGATGCGGGACTCGATCCCAGGACCCTGAGATCATGACCTGAGCCGAAGGCAGAGGCTTTAACCCACTGAGCCACCCAGGTGCCCCAACAGCAATGCACTTTTTAAAGATAAAAAAAAAAAAATTTTTCAGTATTGACTCAAAACCACATTTTCTAATCCTTATTTGTACTTGCATCCACAAACCAGAAACTAAGTGTAAACTCCCATATATGAAGCTCTGATACTGAAAACCAAATGTACACAGTAGAGGCCAACTATTTATGTAATCAATCCTACCGGTACCAACAACAGTAATTGAACGTGACAGGTGATACTGTTTTCTTAGCTTATTTAATATTTAGGGCATTGAATAAAATAATAACAGTAACAACATGTATTTAAAGGTTAAAAAAAAATAGCATTCCCTGATGCGCTTTAACACACATCAGTTCATTTGACATTCACAAACCCTTCTACATTGAGAGTTGCTTTGTCTTCATCTTAAATTATAACTGTTTAGGCTTAGGGGAGCTGTGACTTACCCAAGGCTTCTCAGCTAAGCAGGGCCTCTTGGACAAGGCTCCAGCCAGTGGTCACAGCCAGTGGATTTCCACATTGCTCCATGCCTGGCCTTTGACACAGAGGCAACTTGAAGTTCTGGGATGTCTTAAGAGAGGTCTTCTAGTTTTTAAATTCTGTGTCTTTATGCTACACGGACCTATGCTTTGAGAAGTTATGATACGCTGATCTTTCTTAAGAGCCTATTTCTAATGTATGAAATTTTGGAAATGAGTTTGCTAATTATTGTTGCATTCTAAGATTTTAAATTCTCAGCATCTTTAGGGAACAATAGGAAATTCTATGAAATTTGGCTTAAACATTTCTTTAGGAGACCAGAGTTTACTATACAAGTGCTAACAGATGTGTCACTCTAAATAACAAGACCTAATATGGAAAAAACGAACTTACAAAGCACGTAAACTAGGAATTGGCTCATTTCATTTTATAGAATGAATGCCTTATTTTGTAAAAGGTCCCCACAGTTCCTTTATGTGCTCAGCTGTCTTGGTGCATTTATGTGTTTGATTGTAGATCACCAACCACTTGATAAAATGGCTGGGGGAAAAAGAGGAGGAAACATTGGTGAAGTTTTGGGAGCCAATAGTAATTACAAAACACTTAAAAACAATGATAATGCGTTTCTAAATTTAAGATGTGAACTAATGGAAAAATTTCATTTGAATCACCTGATTTAATTTATAGGATTTTTGTGAAAGTCTCCATTGACAACCTAAGATGCTTTGTTGCCTGAATTCAGAATGTGTTTCATTCATTCATTCAACACATAGCTATTGGATGTTTAATATGTTCCAAGTACTGTGCAGAGTGATGATGAGCCAAACCAAACACAGTTTCTGACCTGCTAGAGTGTGCACTGCGCTCTTTAGCAATGTGATTTTGAAGTTTTATGGGGCTAGCAGATATGAAGCGATAAAGAAGAATAAGTTCTTTTAAAAACTTACTCAAGCATCTCCATGTGATCGTTTCTTTGCCTTTCGTTGTGTATCTCCTTTATATATTTTCTGAGATCTATTATAATGAATGATTATTACTTTCTGGATTATTTGTAAAAGATAAAGGAAAAAGCTTTTCTTAATTTGGTTCTTGGCATATTTATATGAATGTTTTGAGGCTCTAGAAATGGCAATTATCATAAATATCCCAACTGGCACATTTTATTAGCATGAGCTCACATAATATAGATGAATCAACCTGACGTTTTTTCCTTCAGCTGTTTGGCCACCATATTAATTGGTTCTATTACAGGTGGATAGAATGATCTTAATTTCCTTTGGTAAGCTTGAGTGATTTAATCTCATCAGTGAATTGTGGGTTGAAGATATATTTCAAATTTTTAAATCCCATCACTTTGGGGAAGATTTCCCTGCCTTATGGATTTAATGAAAGAAAGTTACCTTTTAATACTTCACATGCATTTCCTCATTCATGTGGAAGTAGAGCTACAACTCCAGACTGTTTATGTAAGCCATCCATAGGAGCTGGTTCTAATTCATTTATTTTTACCATGATTACAACTTTTAGTTGAGCAAATATTGAACTTTATTAATCCTACCTGTGTATCCTGCTGGGTAATAAAATGTATTGGCACATGTATTTAAGATTCTTCAGGCTTTGAACAAAAATGTTGCCATGGGAACCGGATTTCATAGCCCATAGTCCTTTGCACAACTACACCTGCCTTATGGTAGAGGTTTCCATGGCAACATTTTTGTTCAGGGAACATAGAACTTGAACAGAATATGCCACGAGTCTCTTTTCAATGTGTATGTTGATAGTTGTGGTATTACTATAGTTAATGTGCATATTAGAAATACCAGGGGCTCCATGATGGGCAGCGATGTTGTTCTTGCTGCCACTGAATAGATTCCTATCATGTTATGTAGTCACAAGGCATCGGATTAGGAAATTAGAGCAATTTCTAGTCTCTTTTCACTGCCTCTCCACCCTGCACTCATTCAACCCTCCCGCCAGAGTATGGCGAATAATCCTCCATGGCTAGCATGACCAGAATGATCATTTGTGATAATGCCAGAGCTGTAAGGGAAAGATGTGTAACTAATATCTGGCCAAGCTCAGCAGGCTTTCTTTAAAGGGCAGCATCAATCTTGGGAGCCTCTACTGCTACAGAATATTCTACTAATTGTTCTTCAACTTCCTCACACATACTTTACTCCAAAGAAGGTCATGAGCTCCAATAACAAAGTATCACGAGGATGGGGTAAGGATTAGTTTTCTTATTTTTGATCTAATGTCTTCTCTCTTTATCTCTTATATATTTACTTTCAGCATAAAAAAAAAAAAAGTTAGCAACTCCTAAATTAAAGCGGCCCAAGTTCTTTTTTGGCTTGCCATGCATGGGTGTCCTATCATGTCAGTAACTAAGGCACTTAGTTACCAGGAAGAGGGCACTACGGCCTCACAGCGGATAATCCGGGGTTATCACTGTTGTGTTTTTATGGTTCTCTCACCTGTTCTGTGCACACTCATCTGTCAGGACCAGGCTGTCACTGCTGCCAGGTCTGTTGGCATGTTGCTATTTCTTGGCAGGTCTCAAAACATGCAGCACTGGATTTTGAAGTAGCCTCAGCTGCTGTTCGTGGTATACAAAGGAGCTGAATGGGGGATATTATTAATGCCAATCATCCTCTACCCACAAGGGTATCCAAGGGACTTTTAGAGACCACAGGGCTGCTTTCAGCAGAAACCCTAATCAGATCATCTTCCTTGATCAGGGGAAGGAATGTAGGAAAATGAAGTGGGTTAAAGGAATTAGAACAAGTAAATGCATTCTGAATACATTCCCGACAAATTAGCCCAGAGTGCAAATAGACATTGATTTGTCTGATTGAGTGGAAGTATAACTTAGAAGCCTGAGGTCAGGCTTCTGCAACTTTGAGGCCTTGGGAAGTTAAACAAATACAGGGGAGTGTGAAAAACACATTTATTTATAAAGCTGGAGAGGAGAAAGGAACAAATACAGGAAGAGAGGGAGGGGAGGGGAGGAGAGAGGCAGGGGCAGGGAATAGTGAAATGACAGACTCGACTCGGGGAGTTGGGCTAGAGGAGCGCTATTACAAGGCAGGGGCAGAAAAGCTGTAGGTGAGTTTCATCTAGAGGAAAATACAAGAAGCATAGAGGAATGGTTACTAAATCAGGAGTCAGACAGTCTTAGTCTTCCAGCTACCTATAATCGTGGATTTGTCACCTCAGTTGTCTTTCTGGAAAATAAACAATGAGGCCTTCAGATGAGGCCTGAGCTAAGGTTTTAAAACTCTGTGTTGTATGACTGCGTGTGTGTAAATACAGTGGAGAAGCCTCACGGGAAACATTTTTGTCTCCCGAAAAACTACTTCAACTAGACCCGCTTTCATTTGCTGAGTGCTGTAATGAAATTTCACTTGAAGAAAATGCTGCCTGAACTCTAAAAAGTTTTAAAACTATTGGGACTGCTGATTTCCTAAATCCTGCCCAGCACTAATATTCTACTCTATGCCCCAGTCTCTACTAAGCTAATAACATGATGGATTTTAACCACTGTTTAATAGAGTTATGAGAACTTTGAGCTCATGGCCATTGCACAATCAATATTTCTTGACGAGCTGAATTAAATTTCATCCGTTCTGGAAATGGACCCCACAGATCCTTTTCCTAAAATGCCAAAGAAATTATTTTAATCAACGAAATGCCCATAACACAAAACAAACCACAGCCCTATCCTTGCAAAAAAACAAAAAAGAAAAAACAGGGTTTGGCCACACCTGAGAGATTTTATGTCATGGTCCCTGGATGTCAAAGTCAAGGGAGGGTGAGGAAAGCCAGGTGTCCTAACCACAGCAAGAATGCACAAAAGATTAGGGGCCTGCCAGGTGTACCAGAGGAGCACGGATAAAACCATGGAGTCTTTAGCCCTTTTTGAACTTGAAGATGGAGGGAGCTGTGGTCAAGGTCTGAAACCTGTGAAGAATATGCGTATCACAAACAAATTTGTTGACCCCATCCTGCTTGGTTGTTACAAGGGAACCAACTTTCCTTACAACTTTAGAGTGATGCGTTTAGGCCAAAAGGAAGTCCTGCTTTGTATAGGAAGTGGTTTACTAATGGGATTCATTACCCTCCGAGTTCAAATAAACTGGGCATGTTAAACTCAACCCCAGTGGGATGAACATGATAGATTGATTATCTGGGCCCCTGCCTGCATCAGTTTCCTGTGTATGGTCTGGCAAGTGTGCCAGGGGAGGAGAGTTGTGTAGTTCTCAGGTTCTACGCTCTGGACAGAGTGTTACACTACTAAGATAGACTAGTGGTGGTCATCTCCTTCTCAAGGAATGGACTTAATGCATGGCATAGTCTTAGTTTCTTTACTTGACCTCACAATGATACGTAAGAAGGAAGGAAACACATCCTCCCATAACATTTCTTTCTGAAATTTTTACTTATTTTTGGTAAAATCCAATAGATGATAATTTGCCTTCAAAGTATATGGGTGCACACCTACACGTATATACATGAATGTGTATGTTTGTGTAACATATGTGTATACATAAAGACCATTAGGGCAACATTTTCTAGTGGTCCACCAAGAGTGCTGCGATTTTCAAATGTTCCCGGGTGGATGGGGATAGAGAGGGGAACACTACAGATAAAGGCAACCTTATGTGTTATGTGCAGAGGCATGAAAGTGCCTTGGAGTTTCTCATTCTAAGGAGCAGCAGATGGTTCTCTCTGGAGCAGGCTAGAACTTGGAGTGAGTTGAGCTGTGCCAGAAAAGAGAGACAAAGCCAAATAAGATTTGTGATTTACACAGATGCCGGATAATGGGGAGCCTTGGTGGCTCTGATATAATTGGGTTCATCATTTCACAGGTAGTTGGACACCACTGAGGAGTTTTGAACATGTAAGCAGAATTTGCAACTGAGAAAGTTGATTCTGGAAGGTGGATGGAGAATGGGTGACTTGCAAGAGTGAAATCAAAGAGATCTGTTGGGTTAGGGGTGATTTGTTCATACAGGAGAGGGAAAAAAAGCCACACTGCCCCCCGCCCCACCACCGCAGAGCCTGAATTTACAACACTAGCAAGAGGGACGGAGATAAAGGACATAAGAGAGTGTATAGAGTCTCGTTGTATTCTACTCAACCCCAGTAAGCTCTTTCCATTTACACTTCTGTCTCATTAGGTGGAGGAGGATGTTATGAAAGATGCTTGGTGTGTTTTGTTGACTTATTCACCCCTTGCTTTCATTTGTTCCCCTTTTACTACTTGTTAAATTTCATTCGAGTCTTCTAGATAAGGGAAAAGAAAGAAAGGGACAGCATTCTAGCTCCTTAAAAGCAAAGTAACTAATAGGTTGTGAATGAGCTGAGTTTATTATTTTTTCAGTAAGCCAGGATTTTCTGTAATGAATTTTGTCAGGGAGATCTCATTAAACCATCATAGCAGTCTCTGAGAATAGTAACAGGAAGCATGTTCAATAGGTTCTTGCTAGGCAGGATGTTTTTTCTCCTATTCTTACCTCTCCTAACCTTTAGAATGCACCTTTCTCTACAGTCTACCTACCGGAGACTGATTCTGTTGCAAAGTTAGACACATCTTACCAGGACAAAAACTTAACCCTGTGGCACATGTAAGAAGAATAGGGGTTCCTGTAGAAATGTAGTAAATTCCCTTTTTTTGTTCTGGTGGGAGGATAAAATTAAAATATCTAGGTCCAACTAAACTTCATCATCTTTAAATAAACAATAGAAGTCACAAAAGAAGTTGAGCTTGAACCCAAACTCTTTTGATCTTAAAATAAAATATTTAATGTGGAATAAATACATTCAGAGCTCTCACTCTGAGGAAAAGGTAGGTCAAATCAAGCTTAAAATCCTCTCCCCATGTATGCAACCACATGTATTAATTTTAGAGTTTTAGTGCTAAATTTGGACACACATGAATGGTGAGGAGCAAGAAAAGAGACTTTTCACCCCAAACCTGCTCAGGCTATTAGCATTCCCTTTGCTCTTGTTCTCCTCCTTTCCTTCCGACATAACAT